ATAGTTTCTCAGTGGTGTATACCTAGACTGGACTTTATAGAATAAAAGGTGTAGGGATAGGGCAGGTTCGCCTTTAAAAAGCATTGCTAAAGCAATTATATTCCCAAATTATCTTGAATTGGAGAGATAAGAAAACAACATAAAAATATGGTAATGATACTTCTTACTATTAAAAAATAAAATTATACAGGATTTTTACCAAAATACCTTTATCTTTATATAAGTGTGATGTGTATAGATTTTTCATTAATTCTAATAAATGTAATGAATAGTCCACCTAGTAGGATTAAAAATTTTTTAAATAGCATTTAAAAATACAGTTTGAAAAAGATGAATCCAGAATCTCCTTTTAGGATACTGACTTTAGTAATATGGAAAGATAAGGTTATACATGCTACTCGAAATACAAGACACATATTTTGACATAACTTGGCCATTTAGACATTCAAAAATAGAGAAATGCTGTAACAGAGTTTCTCTAAGACTAAAATATCCATTAAAGTAGTGCTATTAGCCGTATAATCATAATTCAGCTTCCTACTAATTCTTTAGCATTAACTTTGCACATAATGCCTAGCAACACCCAGCTGCCTAGTTTTTATTATGTAGTTGACAGCGAGGATATTTAGTATTCTTGCTTCAAATTTCTAAGTCTAGAGATGTGGATTTTAATCTTGGCTTTATTGTTACAGTGATAATGAGAGAATTTCAGAGAGGCATGTGCAGAACACATCGTCTTGCACCTCTGCCCCTCGAATTTATCAGATTAAACAAAGGCCCAGACTTGTTCCACATTTGCCAGGGATGCCATTGAAGAAATGTCATACACAGCGGTGAATAAAGAAACCTCTTGTAAATATATCAAGCATACTAGAAAAAAATGCTTAGAGTTTATTTTAGGAACCTTTATTTAATTTAGGAATCCATACAAATTTATGCCAAAAGATTAACTCTTAATTGACTTCTACGTCACAGTTACCCACATGAAAACAGGCTTTATTTTTTTAAGTTTTAATGTAATAGACATCTCAATCCCAGGAACTTTGTAATAAACATACCTCTTGATAGGAATTTCTAAAAGTATTACATGTAACCTTCTACCTTTAAAATCATTTTCCTCAAAATTTTGAAATCATTCCTACATTGTCTTCCAATTTCCCGTGTTGCTGTTGAGAAGTCTGGTATCATTTTGATTTCTTTTGTTTGTGACTTTTTTTCCTTTTGAAACCTTTTAAGATCTCTTTGTATCCAATAGAAACATCTAGTGAAGACTGAGTTAAAGGAAGGTAACAAACTGCCCTCTTTCATTCCAAGTCTGATAGCACTATTTGGCATTTTGAACTGTTTGGTAAATATTATAAAGTGTAAAGTAGCTGGAGTACCTAAGACCTGCACATGGCATTGAAGCCAGCTCGTCTCCCTGGGAGATGGCCTTCTGCTAAGCACATTTGTCACCCTGAGGTGCCTACCATACCATTTTGTTAAAAATTAACTTATAAATGTTTAAAATTTTAAAAATTAATTTAAGATGTTTAGAATCCCAAAGGGATCTGAAACAAATATGGGAAATATGGCTATTATCATCTTTGTACATAATTCTTGGTGGTAGACACAGCTCTGCACTTTTCTGTGTTTGAAATCTGCCACAATTTGTAAAATAACTCAGAAGATGAGAAAGGAGAGAAGACCAAGTGGTATGAGAATTGGGAACCAGAGGCATCCTGAACGACCCCCTATTGCTGTGATATGTACCTCTCACATTCTGACTCTGAAGTCTGGGGAGATGAGGGGAGGAATGAAACTCAATCGCCAGTTCAGTTCATCCATTTGGTCTAAAATTATTTACAGTAGAACACTGGGTACCAGGCACTTCTGAGCTCTTTTGTGTGCTAGTGTTATTTACCCTTGTAGATTATGATCTTTACATGATTGTCAGTTACTCATCTTTGTACATCCCTCAGCTAACCTACAATAAAATCCTCTGCATTAGCGAAATTTTGTGAAACAGACGTCTTTTTAATATATTGTGAATTTGCTTAAGCTAGAAATTTCTTACAGAAGACCACCATGTGGTGATAGAAAAGGGTTTATGACATTTAATCCAATTACTGCAAGTCACAGGGCTTCGCCGTCCCTTGTGACTGCAAAAGGCATCTCCACAGCTGGGTGGCAGGCTACTGCAAGTCATGGTTGGTGAGACTTTGCCAACACCTTTGCTTCCCAACTCTGCGACGCACTAGTGCATTCCTGTCACCGAAATCCTCCCTGCTAGCCCTCCATTTCCAGTTGTCACCTATCTTTGAATGTCTAAATTTAATGCCACCTCTGAGAAGCTTCTCGAATCTGCCCTGCCCTATTAGCTGCTCTTCTTTTAAATTAATGATGGCATTTTACATTTTTTTTGTTTTTTCCTGACACTGAGTTTATTTTCAGGAATGATTTTTTTCCCATAGTAGCTTGTAATTTCCTTGAAAGCCAAATTTGACTCTTTTTCACACTCTGATTTCTCTACACTATCTAGAACAGTGTTTTTGGTATAGTGGGTATCTCAGGTGTTTCTAAAGTACATCCAAAACACACACTGATGCCCTTGCATCATGATGGACTTCTTGAAGATCCCAAGGAGAGCTATGATCCCTTGGGGATGACAAAGTCTTACTGACTTGTCAAGTAAAGGCAAGTGTTTTACAGTATTTGAGACTCTGAGTTTGTGTAGATCCAGGAAACACCCCATTGATGAAGAAGTCTTAATCTTTATAAAGGCAGCTTACAGTAGTAATATTTCCAGTTCTTTTCAAAGGACCAGTGCATGAACTTATTTATTTTCATAAAGCGAATTGTAAAATGTGAGGGTTTCTGAAAGTCAATTGGTGGTCCTAGTTCTTTGTTATCTGGCTTTTGACATTTCACGACAGGCAC